GGGGGGGGGGACGTGATATTTGTATCGTGATTTCGTGGGGAGAGAGCAGTTAGTGGAGCTGTTTGGTTTCCGCAAGAAAATCACACTCATCTTGTACTCTCCATCCACGTACTGCTACAACACGTACTGCTACAACGTGCATGTCTCTTCACATGCATGTCTCCTTGGTCGCCTCAGATGAAATTCAGGCACGACCAAGGACGACCGCGATCGGAAAGTCTCACGCGCACATAGCACATGAATTATGACTCGTCGTAATCCAAGACGTCCAGTTCTCCTTCCAGCTCGAACCCGCGGTCGTCCATACCGTCTATCGACACGTCGTCTTCATCACTGCCCGCTGAACCTTCCTCCCAAACATCGTCGAAATTGCCTACGAAATAGATGCAGGTGCCGACAGAAAAAAAATCGAGCTTTAGATGATACACGTATTGTTTATGATCGAAACCCAACGTGATGTACGCCAGAGAGTGTTCCTCTAGCGTTACAATCAAACCGCGCTGAACAACTCGGGGGGTCTCTCTGTTCGCGTCCGCGGCGACAACTCCATGGTCTGTACTGCTGTAGCGCATGGGAGTTTGCCGCTGCAAAAAGTGTACAACATCACGGGCCTACACCTCATCCACTTCGCCCTTATGCAAGTAAAAGCCGTGCCATCAGTAGGCCGACGGCGCGTAACATGATGGGTACAAAGCAGCCGCCACCGCAACTCGTGCGGCCGCGTACCACCGCCCAACATACCCATGATGTGTGTGCACACACAACACGCGCCGGAGCAGTTCGCGCTGACACACAGACGTTCTGAACTGGGCCTACGCGTTCACCACTACAGGAGAATCCGCGCCGGTAATCAAGCGCTTTCTTCGATCGAGGAGCCCCTGCCCTCGCAGAGAGGGACAGAGGCGACCAACCATGATCTCACACAGCTGACAGACGCGGAGTGTTTCGGAGAGCCGGTGCTGCAATAGTTCAACTATGACGTGTTTGTGGAAGGTCACACTTGAGATGGCCAGATATTTTGGGGGTTTCTACGCTTTCACCCCAAACCACTGCCAATGGGTAGTCACACACCTCTTCCACCGTGACCTGCTCTCCTGATTTGGGATTACCCTCGGCCTAGCTGCGCTACCCGGCTGTCCGTGACCGTGTCCACCTGGTTTTACTACTGTGGCCAAGCGTCTTGGGTTCGATTCGCTGCCCTCCCCTCTTTTCAAGTCTGCGTCCCCCCGCCATAAAAAAAGCGGCGGAATGAAATTGTCACAACACTGCTGTCTAGCAGCGACAAGAGTTCGCATGAATGAGTGTGAGTACAAATATCCTAAAATTTCAATCTTCCGGAAACCACCTGCCGCGCCCGTACGGAGCTGAATGTACACTAGATAACACACCATCAGACAACCAACTCTCCCAGACCAACAACTACTTCCGGACACCGACAGGTGGAGTGCAGCACACATTCCAGAGCTCCAAAAAGGGGAAGGAGAAGTACCGCCTCGACTTCATCCTCATGCGTCAGACGGACCGGCGTTTCGTGCGTAATATCTCCGCCAAACGTGTCGACTTCAAAGACTCTTGACCACAACCTCGTGCTTACGACTGTCCGCCTCCCCCCCCGTGTCGCACCCAACCGACGAGTGCGGGGGA